TTCAAAGACATCAAGACAAAACTCAAACTAAACATTGCTGTGAAAAATGGACATGCAAATATATACCCAATTGAAACGAAATTACAGAATCACAGACTATTCTGAGTTGAAAGAGACCCACCAGGATCACTGAGTCCAAATCTTAAGTAAATGTAATACAAAGTGCTGCTAAAGTCAGAAAATGCCTTTATTCTTGAAAAAAATACCCAGTAATTAGCAATGATTAACAAGCAAACTGTTCTTTTTATCCCAATTTTTAACAGCCAGTAGACTAGAAGTGTAAACTCCTTATAACCAATTAGTCTAACAAGCAAATGAAAAATTCTGAACTACACCCCAAATTCAAGTAGACCATCAAACACAGGATACAGCAGCTTTGCAGTCCTGTCACTTTAGTTTCACAGCCCTTTTACATTATGCTAAGAATGGGCAGCAAGCCTGGTGCAAAATCCAAACTGGTATCTCCACACCCTTAGAGAGAGTTCATAATGATGGTACACTCRGGCCCATCAAAGACATCAAAATTACAGAACTGATTACAATTTTTGCAGTAAGTACATGACATAAATTAAAAATTATTGTGCTACTAAATGTAACTAAAATTAAATTTTTAAAAAATTAATTTAACTATTAAGCTTAAAAATTAATTTATTTAATTTAATTTAAAAATTTAATCTAGTTAAAACTCCAGTTGTAACTTCAAAATTCAATTTTTACCTTTAATTTAGCTAAAATCTCAAATTTATTGTTAATCACTATAAAATTAATTCCCAAGACAGGCACCAAAATTTTCCTGTGCAATGGAAATCACAACAGGTTTTGTAGTGCAGTGTACATACAAATAAGCCAGGTGAGAAGTTGGACAAGCTTTGTTTTTTTTCTCACTTCACAACTTATTTCAGAGGGACAGTGCTTACCCACAGAATAACACAGTAAATGGGAACATCTGGAACAGTTCAATGTTTTTAAAATATATTATTTAATAATGTATGCAAWAAGGATTTTTTCCCCTCTCCTTTGTCTGCAATGACACTGTAGTGTGACTTATAATACTGTATCTTGGACCATTTCCAAAGGTTTATTTTTGATAGAGGAAAGATCTCTGAAGGTATTCCAGATGTGCAACCAGATGCTAAGCCACCTCAGTTTTATTCATTTCACTTTTTTTCTGAGGGAGGGAGGCTTTGAGGCTTTAATGCTCAATTCTGTGTTGAGCTGATAAACTATATAAAGTCCAGGCAMAGTAAAAGGCTGATGGACTTTGTATCTGTGTTGTCCCTACATTAGGTAACCTAGGGAAGTTTTGAGATTMTAATTTCCAACACCATAACTCATGCATGAACAAGAATTAGAATTAGCTGAGAGCAACAATATGATTTCAACCTTACGGAAAATAGAGTCTCTCTCTTCCTCATGCTGACAAATTTAGATAGAAATCCATCTCTTGGTCTAATTGAAAAAGGCTGCCCCAAATATTGAATGGTGTGTTTCTGTGTTCTGCTTTAACTTGATCAGATAATTCCTCACCTGCATCTAATCTTTTTCTAAAGATGCAAACTGGAACATTTTAACAGTGAAAAGTTGGGGCACACAGATGAGACATGGGTGACAATGATGGTAAGTTTTAATACAAATGGGTAAAAACCTTTCTGTTTCTTATTAACAGATCCTTGCTTTTACAGTTTTGTAGGTTTGAGAAAAAAAGCCTTACTTGTATCTTTAACAGTAGACTGAGATCATGTTATTAGGCAYAAAAGAACATACAGAGAGTGAAATAAATGGGGAACATAAGGCTGCAGGGAAAAGTTTATATACACATCAAAATTTCTTCATGCTATGAACTTCCTGTCATTTAAAATTAAACACTACTGCAGCACTAGGTCATTAGTAAATAGCAGCTTCATTTACTACCAGAAACTCATGTCTACATAGCTCATGTAAAAGATAAGAATTGGAAACATCTTAATAAACAGTGCAGTGATTAATCTCTGATAAACAACACATGTAACACTGAAGGAAAGATGGTTCATAGATACCTCCTAACAGAAATTCTATGATCCAAAAATGCTAAGCACTTAACCCAAGACATCACTTCAGACAGAACCCAGAACTCTGCTGCATGAGCAGTCAGTAGTTCATGCCATGTTTAACTATGCTAAGGGTACATGTGTATAATGACATCTAGGAAGAAGCATGAAATGAGAGATAGTTGTCTATCTGTCAATCAGTGCAGAATCATATGAGCAAACAGAAGCAAGAATGCACCGTAATGTACATCCCARCTGACCCACACAAGCACATTCTTCCAGATTTGCAGGGCACTGGAAACACACACATGCCTTTTAAGGCATAAATTTTCCGCACACTCATGCAGGAAACCAGGTAATTCCACCATCCTGCTATAACACAACCCTCAATACACACACACATCATGTCGATGCCACTCACCTCCAGCACTGTTTGCTCCCACTCATCCAATCAACCTTATGCAGACCATTCAGTCCTGATCTGCCAAGTCTCTTTATCACAGGCCAATTCATTCTATTAATATACTCGTTAGGGTCAAGGACTGTTTAAGTCATAGAGTATAGAGCTCCATCTAAAACCTGACTTTGTAAGATCAGCTATAGTGAGCAACTGTTGTTTTGCAACAAGACTAGACTCAGAATGAATGTTCCTCATGCTTAATATTCATTCAGTTAAATTGCTTTCTTCCCATGTTGGTTTGTGCACACCATGCATGAATAAATGATTCTGTATATTTCACTGGAGCAAGTCCAGATATGCAAATAAATAAATCCTACAGCACTTAGAAAATCAGTATGTGCTGGTGGTCTAATCTCAAGCAGAGGTGGCAGCATGCCACATATTTGTGTTGTTTTACCTTCAGACCCATGGGTAGTTTCAAAATCAAGCTCTTGCTAATACAAACAACCAACCAACCACAAACCCAGTGACAGCCTTCTCTGGACTGTCAGGCACYCTCCCCTTTGGTGCAGTTACAGTCCCGGCCGGGAAGGGGTGTGCGATGACTCCCCYGCAGCTGCACGGGGCGCTGTGGYGCGGATCCCGGCTGGTTTCAGCTCCCAAGTGGCCAAGGGTGGGTGCAGCCGGCAGAAATGGATGGAGAAAAGTTCCTCTACCAAGTCACAGGGGGAGCCCGTTCTGGTGCTCCCTCTGGATAGCAAGAGGAGCTGTAGCGGGAACCTCAGAGCAGCAAGCTGTGCAAAGACACAAGCAAGAATCCCGCGCCTGTAGACGAAATGTATCAAAACTCGAACAATGCAATGCAGCTGGAATCACAGGGGTCCCGGCAAGGCACGGGTGCAGAAGCCGCAGTGTAGCAAACAGGCAGGACGCTGGGCTCTGCAGCAGCAGCAGGCGAGCTCTCTCCCGCAGGCAGCGGGTCCACCGTCCTCTCCCAACCCCCAAGCCAAGCCGAGCGAGAAGAGAGCTATTCCCGCTTCCCCCCTCCCCCCTCCCCCCTTCTCCCCAAGCCCGAAACTCTAGCGGGAACTGTACTCTCCACAGAGAGAACCCTGTCACATAAGAGTGCCTTCAGGAGTCCTCCCCGCCCCCCCATCCCCCGGGGCTTGGCAACTTCTTTTGTCTTTTTTGAGCACCTAGATATTAGGTTAAATACTTGGTTATTACTATCTCTAAGGGACAAGAATGGGGGRAAAATTCCCCAAAAGGAGAAATCCTAACCTCCAACAACATAGAACTTCAAAAGTTCCTTATTCTAAATGATCTCTTTATCCCCTTCACTAAATTTACTGTATATAAAGGGAAGAGTTCTCTCCGGCTGGAAAAATCTCAATTTGCCCCTCAGCTAATAATTTGAAAAGATTCAAGAGAATCTTTTCTTCAAGAGAACTAATGCTACAAAATGCWTACTGTGTGTTAGGAAGAAGCAGGGATGTATCTCACATATATTCATCATGGATTTCTGGACTTCTTTGGTCCTCAGTTACCCTCCTAAACACAGAATGGTGATTTCACCTTCTCTACAAGAATCACCATCCTTGATCACACAGAACATGAACAGAAACCACTTGCTAATTAGGCACATTCATCATTGAATGGTTTAGCATATCCTACCAGGCTTGAGCTGAAGTAGCTCATTTGTGTCTAGTGAGGCCATGGGTACCTCTTCTGTCATGCTGGCCAATACTAATTCAAATTCTGAAGACACAAGCAAGTCTTTCATTGCACAATGACTGGAGATAAAAAGAGGAAGAAGAGGAAGATGGAAGGGGAGAAAGGAAGGTAAGGGCATATGTTTTGCCAGAGGAATTWGACCACATAAACTTTACAAATATGACAGTAAGACCAGCAAGAGCTTATTTGTCAAAATTTTAGGTAGACCATTAATAATAGGTTTAGTGGACTTAGCCAAAGGCAAACCACTCATCGTTTTGCAAAGCTCCTAGTTCTAGCAGAATTACCTAGGCAACATAGTCAGCAAGTGTTGCATATTTAATTCCACCAGGTGATTTCTGCACTCATTTCAGAGCCAGAGATGACAAAAAAGAACTGTGACTTGTAAATTTTTAAATAGAAAACTTTCAGAAAGAGCATGTCGTAAAATACTTTACTGGCAAATATTACATTATTTGTGAAAACATTGCATAGAAACTTACTGGTGGTACACTGATGCCTTCTAAAAATGTCTCAATGTACAAATTCTGCCCTCTTATAACTTACAGCAGCAAAAAAATACCAACTGATGATCTGTACCAGGTAAGAACTTGCTGAACACTCCTTTTTTCAAGTAAGTACCTGCAAAAAGGTGAGTACCAGTAAAACTCACTTATCTTACATCAATTTGGTTCTGTATCTTGGATGATTACGTGAAGAGGGTAACAGAAATAATCCCTTGATTGAATCCCTTAATCATTGTCAAAGTTTTAAGCCATGACCTGAAGGTCCTGCTGTACCATATGATGAACACACACGTGCTAGAAAGAGCATTATGTTCAGGAAGTATTACAGCTTACCATGCCGGGAGGGATTCCTCTTTGTGCCTTCTAATTTGTCATGGAAGTCCGAACTACTGTCAAGCCCTTTCATGTGTCCATCAAGGCTGGTGAAGCCATTTACTTGATTTCTTTCACTGGAGAGAGTGTTAATGCGGGTTGGGATAGGTTCAAATGTAGGGTCTAACTCCAAGATCAGCCTGTTCAATTGTTCAATGGACTGATCAATATCTAAAGTAGGAGAACCTGGCAAGTCCCCAGCATTTTGTCCGAGATCCAGGCCATTTGTATTTCTCTGAGGCACTGGTCTTGACTTAAAACTGTCAGCACTTGTATATTCTTCAGCTTCTGCAGCACCCAGCACGCTTCCTAGCTCCCTTTGCACAGCATCTCTGCTGCCGGAGCCACGTGTTGGGGTGTCTGGGACTCCAGACAGGTTCTGGACACTGCCCAAATTCTCCACRGTGTTATGAACACCAACCCCAGTTTCATTCTCTGGGGCAAAACCATACTGGTGAGCAGTGACCATCTGCTGCTGGCGTACCCAGGTCTGAGTAGAGTAGTTACTTGGGCCATAGGCTCGTGAATGGGATGAGACAGAAGGATTCTGTTGCAATTGCTCAGTTGGCTTTGGTTCAGTGCTTCCAAATGATCTCTCATAGATAGAATCCACAGCAATTCCCAGGTCTGCAGCAAAAGCATTGTGGTGCTCTTCCCCAGCATTACTTCCAAAGCCATCTGAAAGAAGTGAGTTCTGACTGTTCTTGTGGCAACTACAGTTCCCTAGGTGGGTGGAGTGYTGCCCTTCTGAGGAAGACAAAGTCCCAATGCTGTCCACACTGTGAAGGTCATGATTAGGCATTTCATCATCCAGAATATCAGTTTCCCTGTCCTTCATTTTGGTGACTTCATTCCTGGGAGCTTTAGCTGGCACTATGTGGTGAGTGSCGCTGTACTTGCTTTGAGCATCAGTCATGTCCTTGGTGGTGCTGATAGAATCCTCCAGACCAAAGCCACTRAGTAGCTGGTCCAATTCTGCCTTCTCTTGTGGGCTCAGACCCCTTCTGACACCTGGGACAAGGCGTTCCTCAGTCTTGTCTGTCCTGATGGAAGCTGTGGAGTGTCCTGAATCACTACTGACGGACAGGGTATGATCACTGTAATCAGAACTGGCTGTAACAGGAACACCCTGAGCAACACCAGGGATGTTGCTGTCTGAAGAGCTCTTCTTTCTCACTTTTGCATACAGACTGCCATCACTGGGACCTTGGGTATGCAGCACTATGGAGATACAAGAAAAAGGAAAGGGAGAGATAAGGACAAGGCATCACGTAAGGGCTTTGACTAGTATTTTATCACTAGTGTTGCTAACACTAACGGTACTGTTTCTGCAAAACTAAATCGACTCTACAACTACAGCAAATACCAATCAAATTGTCTTCTTAAATTTTACAACACTTTCTTGATGGAAATACAATATGCCATTTTTAGCTCAAGATCAAATTAAATCCTCTCCTTTTATGCTGTTTTGAATGCATGTGTATGGCTCCACAAATTCTTCATATAAATTTACAGAATCCCACTCTTACAGCACTAGAAATTGAGAGGTAGCTACTACACATTCCTTTAGAGCAAGAATGATAGAATATCATACCAGCAATACTTGCCTTTTACATATATATATATATATATATATATATATATATATATATAAAATTAGTACTTCATCATTCAATTTTATTTGATTGTCTAACTATACTCAAAGAATCATTTTCTCTTTTTCTTGGTGGTGCAAGGAAATGACAAGCTTTTAATCAGAGCTATAGTCCTCAGAATATACATAAAGCCTCTTCACAAAGGAATGCATACATAAATGTTAAAAGTATGACATTTCTACATATGTGGCATGTGTATGCATGTCATGTTTTTGTTTCAAAAAAGGACTAGTAAACTTAGGTAGAAGGCTCCACAGAGGTAGCTGTTTTTGTCTTACTGCCATCTAACACATCACACAGGTTAGGTCAATGTGTGGCTAAAGTATGGCTACTGAGTTTTTATCCAGAGCTGAAAACAAGCACAATTGTATTTTTTAGGAAAATTTTTAGTAATAAGTATTTCTAATGYCTGTCAAACCAAGAAATTGAAGTAAATTGTTCAACTTTCAAAGAATTTAACATTCATTTACCAGAACATTTATATGTCAGCAGACATTCCTGAAAAACTTTTCCTACCCATAGTCTAAGAATTGTTTGACAATAAGAAAATTAAACCATTACAATTTAGGGACAGGCAGATTCTTCTCAAAGATAACCATCAGCAACATCTGTGGTAGTTCCAGAATCAAAAGAACCATGGAGACCCCTATGCATTTCAACATGAACTCTAGCACATATTTTCAAAATATACTTAAAATGGCATCATGATCATGAACTTCCAAACTAGAAAACTTCTCTAGGCAATACCTATTTAGAAAAAGCATTATGCAGAAATTCTTCTCACAATGGTAATGAATTGGGGGTTTTTATAAGGGCAAGAAAAGTGGTATGGTTGGAAAAAGTTTTCATCATGGGACACACTGACAAGGTTCTATCAGAATACTTATATACTAAAAGYTATATGATAGTTTTAATAGATTTTAGCTAAAATAAAAGAGAATATTTTTCTTTCTAAGGACTAAAAACTATTGTCTGATGTTGATTTTAAAAACAGTACATGCAAAACATCAAAATACTCCTTTTCACAACTTATCAGACTGAGCAAAAAGAAAAGCAACTCTTCTTGCTGTAAAATTTCTCTCTCTCTATGTGGATCAAATTTATGATACGTAAATTCCATGGTGAAAAGGGCTGCTATGCATGAGGTTGGATGTCTTAAAAACAATAGTTTTGAAAAAATGTGTATCAAAAATACAGCCAACAGACAGATTCTTGGGCTTTTTCACATTGTGATTTCTCACAAGATTTCACTACCTTCGAGGACAATGAAGCACACTTGGTGTTTCATGTGGAAATACTTGATACAATTACCACAGGAAATTGCAAAATTTTAAAAACAAAAACCCCAACCAGAACTAGGAGTAACCACTAGGCAGGGGTTTTTACTATGTGCTTAATTTTGAGTTTAAAAACTAGGAAACAATGAAACCCTGCTTTAATTGGAATAGTTTTATATCCTGACATAAAACAGACTTGAAAAAGTTACAGGTCTGAAATGGAATGCAGTGAAGTAAGTACAGAACTAGTACACTTGACTTAGAAAGCCTTCCTGTCTAAACATTCTGATACTCAAAACTAGGCTCAGTGCTGTAAACCCTGCTAGTCAGCCTAAATATTGTAGTGGGTTGACCTTGGCTGGATACCAGGTACCCATTCAACCGTTCTATCATTTCCCTTCACAGCAGGACATTGGAGAGAAAAAAAAAAAGATGGAATACAACTAGTAGGTTGAGATAAGGCAGTTTATTAAAGCAAGAAAAAAGCAAAAGTTTGTACACACATAAGCAAAGGAAAAAAAAATCAATCTCTACTTTCCATCAGAGAGTAATGTTCAACCACATCCCAGAAAGCAGGACTTCAGCACACAGAGTGGTTGCTCCAGAAGGCAAACATTGTACAATATGAATGCCACCCATTCCTCCTCTCTCCTTTAGCTTTTATATCTGAGCTGACATCATATGGTATGGAATAAACCCTTGGTTAATTTGGGTCAGCTATTTTAGCCTAATTGTGTCCCCTCACAGGATCTTGCACACTCCCAGCTCACTTAATGGGGGCAGGGAAGGAGAGAATGTTAAAGAGACAGCACTGATGCTGTGCCATAGAAAAAACACTGGTGTGTTACMAACACCTTTCCAGCTACCAATGCAAAGCACAGCATTGTGAGGGCTGCTAAAGGAAAAGTAACTCCAGCTCAGCCAGACCAAATACAATACCTCACACGAGCTCAAACATTCTAGCATGCAAATTTGGTTCTCCTTGCAGAAATGGTAAGTACAAAAAAAAYCTCTCAAATTCTCAAGTACGCCATGGAAGCAATGGAAAACTGTGTATCTCCTTCCCTTAGTCCCCCAGTACCGTCACACAGTACCATCCAAGCACAGTGACAGAAGTACAGAAAAGAAAATAGACAGACTAACAATAGACTACTGACGCAAGTATCTTGCACATCTGCGCTCTCTAAGATTCAGAGATAACCCTGTGCAGTATTTCTTCCACTAATGTAAAATTAATAAATTTATTCTGCATCTTGCTTGGAATGCTAGACAACCCCAAATTTTTGGGTATCTTCCAGCTGTGAACTGTACAGCTTCCACCCCAAAGAAGAGACTAGTATAGCTACTTAAAATTTCATTTAGGAAAAAAAAAAAAAAAAAAAAAAAAAAAAAAAAAAAAAAAAAAAAAAAAAAGAACAGCAAAACCCACAAACAGAAAATTAAGCACTGCATTCATGTGTTAGTACAAACCTTAGTCTTAAACTACTTAAGGATTATGAGATTGCTTTTAAGTAAGTTTAAAAGTATCTTTCCAGGGTAATCCAAAGTGTTATTGTATTCCACAGCTATCTGTGCCCAAGATTGTTACTATCTCTTTAGGATCCAGTACCATGGCTGGAAACAGAGGTGGGAGTTGCCAGGTTTTCTTTAAAACGCTGGAACACCCAAGCCAGGTTCTCTTTTCCCTGGTGGCTTTTGCTCAAGACAGAGGCTCCACTTTGTCAGAGGTTATTTCAAGTAGGTTTTCCTAGCCTCACAAAAATAGCAACTCAGAAAGCTGTATTTCACAATCAGAAACTGGTTTTGAGTGAATTTTGCAAACTCTGTCAGCAGCATGAAGCCTGAGCAAGTCCCAGGGCCAGGCCACACCATGTTGGTACCAGGACACCATTTTAGGAAAAAGAATGTCAGTGCTCAAAGTCTGGTCCACTATCAAGTTTCAAAAATCCTAAAGGCAATTTCTTGAAATACTGGTTTTGCAAACAGAGGTCTCATTGATCAAAAGTAGGATAGTGAGCCTGACAGACATTATTTTTTATATTTTTGCTAGAATTTGAGAAGCCATGTTATGTGTCTACAAGTGAAGTGAGAAACAGAAGAGTTTGGGACCCGCTGATTTTTGGCTCTGAATTTAAATTGATACAATATTACTACACTTCACAATGTAACAACTGTGATTGTGGATCAAAACACTTTACTTGCAACTAGACAATTTCCTCTAGGAGACAGCTGCCTTCTTAGGAGCCAAAAAAATATCACTCTACATTATAAATCGGTAAGAAAGAATGAAACTCACAGCTAAACAAAAATCCAGCTGTTCCTGAGGAGTCTCGATATTGAAACTAAGCTTCTAATTGTGAAAATACAATGTATATTGCACATAACAAAATTATGTTCTAATTCRCAGAGTTGTTTGGAGTTTTTAATTTTAGCTATCATCACAGAATATATCATAAAATKGTTTGGGTTGCAAGGGACTTTAAACATCGTCTAGTTCCAACCCCCCCCTGCCATGAGCAGAGGACACCTTTCACCAGACCAGGTTGCTCAAAGCCCCATCTGACCTGGTCTTGAGCACTTCCAAGGACAGAGCATCCACAATTTCTCTGGGCTGCTCATTCCAGTGTCTCTCCAGTCTCTATGTATTCTTTATATCTTATGTAAATCTCTCATCGCTCAGGTTAAAGCCTGTCCTGTCACTACATACTCTTGTAAGTAGTCTCTCTCCGTTTGTCTTTGGGGCTCTCTTCAGGTACTGGAAGGCTGCAATTAGGTTACCCCCTCATTTCTGGACTGAACAAACCCATTTCTCTCAGCCTTTCCTCACAGAGATAAGGAAATTCATTCATCCATCCATCCTTCCAAACAACTTGGTGGTCTCCTCTGGACTTGCTCCAACAGGCCCATGTCCCCTGTGCTGGGGACCCCAGAGCTGGATCTCACCGGAGTGGAGGGGATGAATCCCCTCCCTTGCCCTGCTACCCACGCTGCTTTTGATGCAGCCCAAGACACATAGCTTTCTGGGCTGCAAGAGCACATTGCTGGGTTATTACCAGCCTCTCACCCACCACCACTGCCAAGTCCTTCTCAGCAGGGCTGTTCTTGATCTGTTCATTGCCTAACTTGTACTGATATTGGGGATGCCCAAACACAGGTGCAGAACCTTGTAGCTGGTCTTATTAAATGATATATATAAAAACTATAAATATATACAACCAGAAATACATAAAAACTACATACATACATGGTTTGTTTGCTCATAAAACTAAGACAAACTAATTATTCAAAT